GGGGGGGGGGTTGGCGGATCAATTCCGGACCTAATATTTTTTCCTTTACATGCCTCAGATCTTTCCTTATTTGTAATCACAAAAATTTCTTTCAAATCTTAGAAGAATATCGTCGATAAATATGGTCCAACAAAAAATCTAGTTGAAGTAAAATCTTTCCTCAGAAATCTGCGCTATCATTTTCTTATCCCATTTTCATTGCTTCACAGCTTTCTAGTGACTATCATGGGCTTGTTGATCCCATGGAGCGCGACACTTGCAATGGTTGACATATACTCTATTTTTGTTGGTTGTCATCTTCGCCTACCTGGTGTCATGGTGATTGTGGTTCTAGGAGACTGGGTACATATCCTCTTTATTTTTCTCTTTGCAAAGTAATGCAGATTTTTCAAAGATTAACAGTGTAAATTTTGCAGTCTTTATCAATACTCTCATTGGCCGCAGCTTGTGCAGCTGCTGGCGTTGTGGATTTCCTTATCCATACAAATGGCCCTTACTGCCCTCCAAAGTTTTGTGGGCGATACCAGGTTTCTGCTGCAATGGCTTTCCTCTCATGGGTTCTTACTGCTCTGTCTTTCCTCGTCAACCTATGGCTAATGGCTTCTTTGTGAGTGATCTTGTTCTAGTTTTCCGTCATCTATTTATTGAATTCATAGAATAATTTCTCGGTCTTCAAGCAGATTTCGAGACTTCGGTTTGTATATAAAATCCACTGTTGAATTCAAATTTTGTTTCTTGCGAAAGGGTTTTTTTAACAATACTGCTACTAATGAGATAAGCAAGTCAGCCTTTTAGTAAATTGGTTATTGCAGTAGAAACCGAGAGTTTTTATTCATTTTATCCTCTAAAATGTAGAGATGAGGTACAGTGCAAATAAAGATCAATATATATATGTTTGAAAGCTGCCGCATCAACTCTGATATGTTAAAAACCTGGTAATCATTCAATAGTATTTCTTTGTGGAGTCAGATGCCATTTTGTTTGGCGTTGTAAAGAACGAGCTTGTATGCGTTTTTATTTGGCTGGCTTTGTTTTGAAGTTTATACATAAATATATTTGTTTTACTTTACAAGAGTTAATGCACCAAATCACACAACCCTGACCTTATTTCTATTTCTTGCGGATGATTTTATTTGAAAGCTAACCATGTGCCAAAAAAATTTTTTAGTATCAATATTTTTTTTTGGATATAGCTCCACCTACACCAAAACACAGCTCACCTTAGCCTCTTGGTTGAGAGCCTATGCTTCCAACTAAGATGTCTTGGGTTCGAGTCTTTGTGTATGCGTTGT